AGGCGTTAATGGTGTACTGCCCCTTTGAAGTGCCGCTCTGGCGCTTCAAAGGGACAGCACAACCAGGCCTAGGATCAGCTGCAGTCCCCAGCTGATCCCCAGCTCCACTGTTGCAAAGCCCATTTGAAGCGCTGGAGCGACACTTCAAAGGGGCTTTGCAACGCAGAGCTGGAGATCAGGTGGGCACTCCACCTGATCCATGGCTCCGCTTGTACTGCCCCTGGGATTATGTACACAGAGCTGTAACCATGTTGGTCCCAGGATATTACTGGGACAAGGTGAGTGAGGTAATATCTTTTATCGGACCAACTTCTGTTGGTAAGGCGAAAGTTTTTTATCTTACATAGAGCTTCTCCACTTGGTGAATAATTGTGTCAGTATGCGTTAATCATTCATTTGAGCAATTAATATTTGTTATAGGACTAAATTTGTTTTTAGCTGTATTCTTACTTTAGAATCTAGAAGAACATGGTCGAGGAAGATAAATCTTGCCTCTAGCTGTTTGACACTTTGCTTTTTTGAGATAGTACAACATACTACAGGTTGAATCTCTCTGGTCTGAACTCTCTGGTCCACCAGGACTATGGGTGTTGCTGGACCACAGAGCCCCTGGATCAGAGTGCCAGCCACAGAGGTTGCCAGCTACTGGGAGCGAATTGGTCTGGCAGGCCAGCAGCTCACAGGGCCAGTGGCCTGGGGGTAGGGAGCCAAGCCAAACACCTGGCCAGTGGGTCAGCAATCCATGGGGCTAGCGGCCAAGAGCCTGTGGAATTGGTGGCCGGGAGCAGAGCCCTGCCAGTGGGTTGGGGCAGCACAGTGGTTGGGGCTGGTGATCAGGAGGGGAGCCCCGGGAAAGACTGAAGGCCTGACCTCCCCTGTTCCAGCACCCTTATTAGGGCCACTCAGGCCCTGAGGGTGCGGACCAGGGAGGTCTAACCCATATTGTCCAACACCACATGCATGGAATACTACAACTGCCAAAGGTTGATCTGTTTTATTAAGGTCTGAAAGTGATAGTGCCTTTATACTTGTATACCACAGAAAAAAGGTTTTGCAAGAAATGGGTTGCACTAGTTATCTTGTCAATCGATTTTAAGATTTTGGTTCTTTTTTAAAAAGCACTTTTGGGGAGTGGAGTGCATTTATTTTGTTCCTCTAATAGTCGGAATACTGAGAAGCAAGCTCACATCTTGAAAATTTCCAAGGGATGTGTGTATCCTGGGAGGGTCTCAAAAAGGATGTTAGCAGTTTCCTTTGCTGTTCCAGACAATCTGGCACAGATGCAAGAGGGCATATTAGGCTGACAGGACGCTGTGCAATCTGATTGCAGGATGAGGAAAAGAAATGCTGCCAAGAGAAAGAAGCTAAAAACAATGACCAGCTTTTCGAAACAGGGAGGGGAGAAAACAACACACCACCCTCACAAGCTTAAATTTTTTGACTGCCAAACTTGGCTTGTTGGCTATTAGTATAAACCACAGGTGTCCATAAAGGAAGCAGTTGCTGCATGTGAGAAGCAATAGTGAACGGCTGTTTTCCAGAATCAGTACAAGAGAGAAATGGAGCCTATACATACCATAATGCCATGTCTACCAAGACCAATCGCTTAACATCCACTCTCCCCACATTCTCCAAAAAGCAACATTAAATAGTATCAAGTATCAGAGGGGTAGCCGTGTTAGTCTGAATCTGCAAAAGCGACGAGGAGTCCTGTGGCACCTTATAGACTAACTGAAGTGTAGGAGCATAAGCTTTCGTGGGCAAACACCCACTTCGTCAGATGCATGTAGTGGAAATTTCCAGAGGCAGGAATAAATATGCAGGCCAGGATCAGGCTGGAGATATAAGGTGCCACAGGACTCCTCGTCGCTTTTATTAAATAGTATGGGACTTTATAAAGCTGCTTCCTGAATTAAGGTATGAAACAACATTAAAAGGTCTTATTCAAAGTACCTCAATGATCTCTTTCTCACATGCAGTTGGAGAAATGACTACATACATCATCCTAGCAAGTAATACGTATCCTAAATTAATTTATCTTTCATGTGTAGCACTTGATATATAAATTTAGTTATGACATTAATATTGAAACAGGAATATTCTAAGATCAATGTTGAAAGCATCTGATGATTCAGCTTCATGATTTATTCAAATTAAAGAAGATCAAGGAATCTATTTTCATTACCAACAGCAGCTCTTGAGGCTCCACCGCCACTATCTAGCTATGAAACAAATACAGAGCTAACAGTTAACTAAGAAATTTCACAAAAAAACCCACACACTTATATTTGCAATGAGGGGTTAGTTAATAATCCTCTTCACTATTAAACAAAAGGGAAACATTTATTTTATTGATTTCTATTACCGATTTGAAATAGAAAGCCTCTCTAAGCCAATGATCTTTCTAAGCCGTTCTTTTCAGCACTATCTAGACAATGTATAGATGTCCATATCAAAGACCAACACTACAAGATCAAACTTTAGCCACTCTTCAATTACAAAGAAGGTTCCAGTTTTATCCACCAAATCTGAGCATTGCTAAAATACAAAGTAATTATATGTAACAACTGTTCAAGTTCAAAATAGCTTATCAAAGGCAGTCAACAACAACATGCATCCTGGAAATTACAACATCAAGAGCCAAGAGAACTAAAAATCTATGCTTCTGCATCTCATTTAATCTTCCATGTACTCTCAACTACCTTCTTACCTATGTAAAATTTTAATCTTTTCATTAATGGATTTATTGCTCTTATAGTAGGTAGTAATTAAGGCAGAAAAACTAAAATGTGAGGAACACTGCAAAGTACTTTTAAAAGTTAATTTGTTTCAAGTTCACCTATGCTTCCCTACATACACATTTAACACTGTACATTTTTCTATTTATGGGTACAAATTCTGTCCTCCAATACTTACCTGCAGTTCCTTGACTTCAGTGAAAGATCCACCAAGCATGCTTCAGACAGACTTTAGGAGTATGACTTGTTTGTGTTTTCATTTCAAATATGTGTGGTTTAGGTTTACAAAACAATCATTTGCCAAACACTTTGAAAGCTTTTAGATAATCCTCACAATACATATTTGACTCCTCAGATCATTCAAAAAATACACACTTATGCCCTAACGAACTTACAACAAAAGAACCTCTACAAATAGCATATTTTTTAAAATCCCTCCAACTCTTAATCTACCACCTCCCCAAATATCTAGAACAGATGAACTATGTCAAATGATAAAATCCAGTTCTGATAAACTAGGGAGACTGAGGGTGTCATGAATAGGAGCTGCTAAGGAAAGTCTGTCTTATCTGAGAATGAGGAAAGGGTTAAGCAACTCTTGAGATACACCTGAGGGACAGGACTTTGGGCATTCAGCCAATGAAACGCAGATAGGAATTTCAAACCAAGAGAGGGGTTTTTTCCCCTCTCTTCCTTGGTTTTAGATTAGAGCAGTTTTTTCCCCCAGATAGCAGGAGAGACAGCCCTCCCGGGAACAGATTCCTTGAAATGTGTAAGTAGGGCAAAAAGTTTAGATAGTCCATCAGGTTTTATTATTTCCCTTGTTTGGGGGTTTGTAAATCATGTCTGAGATGGTTAATTGGTTTACTCTTTTGTAAGTAAGGATTACAGCCCAAGGATTCTTCTCCCTGAGTCTATTTTAATCCATGGCTTTTAACACACAGTCATTTACTATGCTTGCAAAAGTAGTCTTGTTTTAATAATAAAAGTGTTTTCTTTTTGTTTAACCAGTATTAGGGTGGTGCGTGTGCACACGCGTGCATGTGTAAACCTATGTCCATTACCTGGAGGAAGCAAAGCCCCACTGCTCTCTGCGGATTACCTCTGTTTTCCCAGCTACAAGCAAAACAGAGATTGGGACCGGGGGAGGGGGGGAGAACGGCAGGACTTTGCCTCAGGTAGGGACTTTTTTTAAGTGAGCTCTTCTCTGGAAAAGGGCTTGATGCTTTTTATTTACACTTAGCGGCAGCAACCAATCGTCTCAGGGAAACTGAGACTGAACAGGCTTGTCTCTGGGAGTTACAGAGACAGGTTCTTACAGAGTTTATTCTGCTAACCAGTCCCCATATCTACATTTGAAATGCCAGGCTGAGGAATTGAGCAATGACAGAGGGCAAAGTCAAAGACCAAAGTGCACATTGTTGGCAACTCCCTCTTTTACATTAAGCATGTTCCAGCCCAAGAAAACCCACAAACTTCAATAGTAGTAGTTCAGTATCACCAGAGAGGCAGTCTTGCATATACTATGTCATCGATTTTAAATTCTAAAATTTTAAAAACTTCCAACTTAACATTGGGTGAAAACATTTTTCTCCAAAACTATAAATTGCAAATAGAGTCAATCAAAGTTCATATAGACTATGTGGTTTGTATTATAGTCATTTCTCTAGATGCTGTCAAGTGGCTCTGATAGTCACAAGCAAAATATTAAAGCCAGACCTATGTTACAAAATTGTATCAGTAAAGCTGTGTGGTATAGAAGCGTACGAGAAAAACACAAACACTACACCTAAACTATATGCACTCTCATCACCCAATGCAGAGTTACAATTACATCAGCAAATGAATTTCTTTTGCCAGGATATGCTGCATTCCACTAAGGGCCTTTGTGTATAGCTGTATCGGCATATCTCTTATAGTGAATACTAGAGCTAAGTATTACCTTCAAATAAATAGGTCAATGTGCATCAGATTCATTATGTTACCAATCATCTGTTACCTTTAAATATTAAGCTAGTATATGGACCAAAATCTCAGATTGTTCCATTTTCAGAAGAAAACATACTTCCTTGTAAATACAGTAATTTGATATTTCTTTTGGTTCACTAGATGAATATTGACAAAAAAGCAATAAAAGTATGTTTAACATTAGGTGCATCAAAATTATAATTCATTTAATCACTTCTTGTTTGACACTTGGCCATTAAATATTTATCTTAAGAAAATAGTTTGAGGAGCTGGTGTTATGAAATACTGTCTTACCTGGTAGATATCAGAAAGGCTGCTGCTTCCAGAATCACTAGTGATGCTACATCCTGAGTGACTAGAGGTAACATGGGTCACCTGTGGGTGGAGACTGTCAGTAAGATGCAGTTTTGTGAAATCTGCAGGAAGCTACAGGTGGGGTAGAAAAAGCAACATTACAATATGGATCAGGTATGCAGTGCAAAACACATTTAAATTGTTCATGCCACATTTTACTCCCTGCCCGTACAAAAAGCTACACAAAATGTATTAAGGTGGCCCTTGGAGTCTGAATACAGAGCTTGCAACTTTAAGATTTACAGTTGTTAAATTTGCTAATAGTTCAATGAAGTATCCGAAGCGTAAAAAAAAGACTTGCGTCAAATATAGTAAGAGATTCAACACACAATATCTAGAAGAAAACATTGATGAACAAAATGTACTTCAATTCCAACACTATGTTTAGATCTAACTAAATTCGGAGAGAGATTTTTGCCAGTTTAAACAGTAAGGGTTTTCTTGAAGAATGGGATTTGAAATGACCTATACTATATACACTTTGAATGTGGCTTTCCTATTTCTCTTTGTCATTGAAATCAATTATTATAGCACACGTAAAACCTACCTGACTCAACTATCTGTCATATTTCAAACCATAAACTCGGACATCAAATAGGAAACAAAGAACAACTAATAATTTGCAGAGCTATAAATATACACAACAGCCAATGTAGGTGAACAATTTAAGTGACTGCAGAATCCATCTGGTCACATTCCAATAAAGGAATATGCATGCTGCAATCACTTCAAGAACAATTACAACTTAATTAAAACCCTAGCAACTTAAATGGTTTACTCCCCAAGTAAGCCTTTACTTAACCCTACAGGCCTTCCATAATTTTAAGATCCACATGTGAACAACTCTCAGGAAACTTAACGTGAATTTTGTAAAAAAAAACAAAAAAAAAAAAACACCCTGATAATTGACTGAAGCCTTTCATATAAAAAAGGGAACCACCATCCAACCTAATTAAAATCTGAAGAAATATTTTAATGGTTATGCAGTCATAATATTGAAGATCTAATATCCCAATCCTACCTAACTAATAGCATAAAATTCTAGTCCCCATTTCCACTATATATTATAGGAAGGCAGTTTAAATATTGTATATTTTGTTAACAGTCAGTAACTATTAAAATTATATTGGATACTTAAATCATATTGTATGTCCAAACTCTATACTTCAAATTAGCACCTATGTTTTTATGGAGGCACTGATATGATCTGTACAGCTGAAGTTGCATTGAGATTTTCATTTAAAAACTGGACTAAATTTCTGTTTCATAATTCAGTGGTTGATTTGGAGTATGTCTTCGTTATTGGGTGGATTGATCCTGCAGTGATTGATCCACCTCAGGTCGATTTAGCAGGTCTTCCCTAGACCTGCTAAATTGACTGCTGACCACTTTCCTGTCACCTCCAGTACTCCACTAGAACAAGATGAGAAAGAGGAATTCATGGAGTGACCTGGCAGTAAGTAGATCTAAGCTATATCTATTTGAATTAGGTTACTAACATAACTTAAATTGCATAGTTTACATTGACATGTGCCAATAGTGTAGACTTGCCCTTAGTTTATAAATTTGGCACATTAACTCTTTAGTAGACAACTCAATTTACCACAATTCTTTACCCACTGGCAATGAAAACATTTAACCCCCACCCCTCTCGAAAAATTATCTTTATTTAAAATTGCTTTGTATTGATAACAATTCTTTGGGGCCCTTGAGCTAACCAATTATAATCAACACAAATTCACATCTTTGCACACTGTACCCTGCATGGAGATGTGTAAAATGCTGATTTTTCAGTTTGCTGTCAGAAATTAAAGTGCGGGGAAATATTTCAGAAAAACCCAAATCAAAACAAAAAATTGGTGTTATATACAATATTCTAATTGATTTAAAATGAATTCTATAATTTAATAAACTTAATTAAAAACCAAATGGTCTGGTAGCACTGCGTGGTAGATGGTATTATAAGCTTTCGTGGGCACAGCCCACTTCTTCAGATGACCGGAGAAACTCAAAACTCAGGTCATCTGAAGAAGTGGGCTGTGCCCACGAAAGCTTATAATACCATCTACATGTTTTGTTAGTCTATCAAGTGCTATCAGACTATATTGTTTTTAAAGTTTATCCTGTACAGACTAACTCGGATGCCCCCTGAAGCTTCTATAATTTGAGCCATTTATAACTTTTTTTTAATTAAAGTAAAATGAATTTGGAATTGCCTATCACAAAACCACGAAAGAAGGTGGAGCTGACTCGCTCACACTTATGTCCATGCAATTGCAGCACATGTCCCTGCTCTAGATCAGGCAAAGTAGGGATTTGAATCTGTGTTCCCTTTACTCTAGATGAGTGCCCTAACCATACAGCTATAAAGGAGATAGAGAGCAGCAGAAGCAGCACTATCACCACCACCTTTTCCAATGCTGTGAACAACATTCTTCATGAATCTAGCCCGAAAATATATTTTGGCTAAAACAAATTCATTAATAGTTTTGGCTGAATAGAAATATTGTTTTGGGTAAAAATTATTTATCTGAAAAAATCTTGCTCCAGCTTGACTCCTGATAGCTTGCACAGAGGCCATTTTTCTGTTCAAACTTAAACCAACTCCCCCGGTTTGTGCTTTTTGTCAAAAATGGACAGATCTGGGCAGCTGTCAGTTAATCTTCGTACAACTCAAAACAGCAGTTTTGAGTTCTCGGGATTAAGAAATACTTTCAGCCATGGAAAGATTAGCTTTCAAAAGTTGTAGTTCCATCAGCTACAGCTATTTTGGACAAAAGCACAAAGAGAACGACATACAATGTAATTTATGAAAGCCACAAAAGTACTACAATCATTGCATTACATGAACATGGAATCAAGAAATATGTCTGGAATTAAGGCTATTGAGTATAAAGGTGATAGAAGAGGTAAATTCTTAAATGGGGGACTAATAAGAGGCATACAGACAGGGTATTAAATGACTTCGCTATTTCCCCCCCCCCCCCCCCCCTCCTCCCGCTTGTTGTGCTTGGACCAAC